GAAAATCCTGGGAATAGTCTAGATTTCTTGTCTTTTGAGTTAGTGCCCAATATACCAGTGCCCCACGAGATGTTGGAGCAGAACAAGAGGAAAGACATTTGTAGTTTGACATGATGACTTGCAGGATGTCTTTAGCCAGGTTCCCTTCAGGATACCAACCCTCTTTAAGGCAGACAATCCTCATCCTAGGAGTACACACAAGCAATTTCATGCTAGGCACTGGTGTCAAAGTATAAGAGGGCAGCCTAGGAGTTCTGGAAAAAATTCTGCTAGCTGTTTTAGGGATGTTATATTTAGGGATATTGAAATATGTGATAGTTCATTTATCCGGTATGAAGGGGTATTCTCCTTAAGCAAATTTTCCAGACAATTGAAGCTGACCTTTAAGCACTGATAATTTTATGTTAACCATTTTGATAGAACTCTTTCTAACTCATATTTCGTACCACTTTGAATATATGTTTCTTTGTGTCTTCTTAAACAGATTATATTGAACATAATTTGACCTTTTCTTAAAAATGTAGGGGCTTCCTGAATACCAATTTTACTTTGCTATCACAGTGATTCTCTCAGTAGTAATATACACTCGGGCATCTGAATCTTAAGTTCTTATTCAGTTTAACAAGTAGTTTTGAACAATTACTATGTGCTGGATACTGTTACGTGCTCTTTTTCACAATTCTTGTCTCTCTCTTCCATCTGCTGTTAGGCAATGGTATACTTGCATCCAGCAGTCCTCTTTTCATCTCTAATCTACTGATGCTAGTAGGAAACCAGCTACATCAAGCTGATTCAAACTGTTAAAGGGAAAAGGGAGCGACTATGAGATTTACCGCATCTCTGTTAGGTGATCAGATTCCTGTTTCTCGCTTCTACTAGGCTGATTTCTAATAATGCAAAGTCGAGATTACGAATTACCTTTAAACAAGGAAGTCATGACATTAGAATTGAGAAATGTAGTCAGTGACACTAGTTTGCTGACTTGACTCTGTGTGCGTGTGTGTGTGTGTGTGTGTGTGTGTGTGTGTGTGTGTTCGTAGGCATGTACAAGGTATGTCTGTCAAGACTTTGCTCTCTGCCAGGATGGCTACGTGGAGCTCCCAGTTTTCCAGGAAGTTTATTTGAAGAAATTTTACTGACCTTTTACTGAATAATGTTGCCTTCTTTTGGATAGAATTACCCTGGTAGAAGAAGAAAGGACATTGATAAATAAGAAATTTCTGGAAGATATCATCAAATAATATTCAGCGAGACAATAGTTAAGTGTAGTAGGTAGATAGCGTTTTACAAATTCTTTTTATATGCATAAGCACATGTAATTTTCAAAGACAAACGCTTTTTGTATATTAATTATTATTTGTCTTATCTTTTTACATACTGATATGAATAAACTAAGGCACAGAAAGGTAAAGTATGTTGCCCAAAGTCATATAGTAAGTGGCAGGGCCAGGCCTGGGACCTGGGTCCTCTGCATCCATACTCTTGGCTCTCTCAACTATACCAATTTACCCTCCACTCAGCCAGTGACCCTTGGAGCCTGTGAGCACAGGCTATGAAAGCTATATAAGCATATACTATGAAATAAGTTTAAAAACTATAAAAATCTAAAATTGAGAATATATCCTGGATTTCTGTGGCATCCCTCTTTCAAAATATTTTCTCATAATCTGTTATGGAATTAGAGTTAAAAAAAATGAAAAAAATTCTCAGTTATTTCATTGTCCTTTTAACTTCCTTAAGAGATTAATAAAGAAGAATTATGGTCACATTTTAGGCCTGTGAAAATGAAGAATTGGAATTAGAAAGAAACTTTCAGGATTCCAAATTTGGTTTTACAGGTTGGTAGGATAAAGTGGTCTGCCAGACAGTTCGTTGCTCAGGCAGCCTCTATGTAAAGTTGCTCAAACATCACGAGGCCATTGAACCACTGTGGGACTCTGACGAGCTTGATGAAGACAACTCTGTTTTTTTCTTTGATAGGTGGTTAGAAGGAATACTTTGATGGGCCACTGGGGATAGACAGTGGGACACATCATGCCCTGCCAAACTCAGTTCTAGAGAGGTAGGTCCAGTTAATTTCAGAAATTTTGTTTGCTGAGTAGAATATGCAAGCTTAGGGGCTGGAATGACTTGTTCAAGACAATGGGAATCGTGGACATGGTCTAACATCTATCCAAATCTGTGGATGATCCCAGGACAATGGTCAATTGTTGACATTTGCTTTTAAGGAAGAGATGAGTTCTCTTTTCTGAAGTTATTAAGACCATTTATCTGGACTACATATAATTTCTGGTGATTATCAACCTTGGCACTAAAGCCAATATAAATGATAAAAGTCCAACAAAAGTTTAACTTTTAGCCCTAAATGCCTGCTGCCAGAAGACATCAAGCAGGCCAAGAGGACTAGTGTTCTATATTCAATTGTTCTGTCTCCTTCAGACCTTTGCATGTGTGCTGGTGACTTCATGGCGTGAGATATGAACAGACACTGGAACTGTATCATAAAGAAGCAGTGGCTTACTATGTTTTAACTCACAGGCCAACTGTGACTAGATGGTGACAGATGCCTGGTGCTCTGTGTTGTGAAATATTCAAAACTGTGTTGGGATCATCAGGAAAGAGTACTGTGATTGCAGGAGGTGGGAGGGGTGGTGTATGTGCCAAGTATTGGCCTCCTTTCTATACAGCATACTCTCAATGTCCCTTCTTGCTTCCATTCTAAATCCCCTTAGGACTTAGGCTAGTTTTTTGTCATTTGTATGGCTGTAAGAAAGGCAGATAGTCCTTAGCATCTTGTTTGTTTGTTTGTTTAGGGTTAGAATGCTTTGGAATTATAGTTGGTACTGTTCTTGGAATACACACATGGGAAGATTGGGTATGCATTTGGTGGCTTATAGGATTTTGAAAACTTCTTTGAAAGGCAATGACATGGAGAGACATTGAAGAGGGAGTGGAGAGCTTGCCTCGTTTTGGCTGTTATGTTCTTTTCTTGCAGAGTTCATGCTCAAGACCTTTGATCTAGGGAGAAAAGAAACAAGATAGGGATTGAATAAAGTGCACTTAAATATTCATACTACATGATGGTTATTTAAAAACAGCTTTATATTCTAAAGCTGCACTACCCAATATTATAGCCACTAGCTGCCTGTAGCTCTTTAAATTTAAATTAATTAAAATAAAAATTCAGTTCCTCAGTCACACTGACCATCTTCCATGTACTCAGTAGTCACAAGGATTTAGTGGTTACCTATTGAATAGCACAGAAAATTCTAGTGGGCAACCCTGTTCTAGAATCTTAGCTTAATAGTCAAGCCACAACCAAATGCTGAGCAAGGATCTTGAGAGACTTGAAGGTGTCCTAAGGAGCAAGGACCTGCAAGTCCCAAGACCCTGGACCCTAGGCCACAGCTTGTATCAGCCTGTTTAGAGGCTATATACAGTTTTGGTCTCTTGTTCTTGATTTCAAGATTCCAAAATATCTAACAAATAAAAATATTTCTGGATTGAGTTACGATTTAACTTACAAAAAAGGTCAAGAAATGGAGGTGAGCATTTTGGTTTTGGTTTCTCACCACTTAGACTCTTGACAAACTTAGAGAGTACTTTTTTAGGGAGGGAGTTTTCCCTTTATTTATCATTTCTAATTTCAAATGTTCATAGTTCAATACAGCACACAGTTTTGAGTTTTATAATGTGGTAGGTGTTGTATGTGTCTGGAGATAAGTTTCATGCCTATCCCATATAGTGGGTTTCCATATATTCAGGGGTAGTGAGGATGGTATTAGTTTTAAAGCCTTTCTGTGAAATATAAGGAATATCCTGCTTATCTAGGTGCTGATCACTAACACTTTTTTTTTTTTTTGAGACAGAGTCTCACTGTGTTGCCCAGGCTGGAGTGCCGTGGCATCATCCTAGCTCACAGCAACCTCAAACTCCTGGGCTCAAGCGATCCTCCTGCCTCAGCCTCCCGAGTAGCTGGGACTACAGGCATGCGCCACCATGCCCGGCTAATTTTTTCTATATATTTTTAGTTGTCCAATTAATTTCATTCTAATTTTAGTAGAGACAGGGTCTCACTCTTGCTCAGGCTGGTCTTGAACTCCTGAGCTCAAACAATCCGCCCGCCTCAGCCTCCCAGAGAGCTAGGATTACAGGCATGAGCCACCGCGCCCGGCCAGATCACTAACACTTTTTAAAGGGCATATTTCTGCTCTTAATATAAACCCAAATAGTAATGTGATAATGTGAGGAAATTATGAAGGGAAATGTGTTTCTGCAGTCTTTTAAGAAGGATTGGGAAAGGACCAGAATTTTAAAGTTGGTGTGGTCTAGCAGGGGTCAACCAGACCATCAACGGAGGGGATGTGGTGTTGGGGCTCCTTCAATTCCGAGTAGGATTTGGTCTGAGAACCATTTGCTCTGGCTCAGGCTGAGATGGAGTTACCACTAAAACCAGGATGTTCCTTTGTTTGCCAAAGCTCACACTTCTCTCTCAAGGAACCGAGTCTCTAGTTCTTCTTCTATTTTCCTCAAAGTTTCCTGGTACTTCTTTAAAGAGAAATAAAGGATGCCACAGTTACTACTTAGAAGCTTTATAATTTTTCTAAGCATAGCAAGCACTTATAGTGTACCATGAATATTTAATATTCCCACTGCCACTCTCTCTGCTTTCGCAGACCCCACCCCACCACTTCTCCTGATCTCTCACTTTCTGACCATTGGGCAGGTTCCTGGGCATAACTGGATTATAAATAACAGAAGTGTGCATTCTTAATTTAAGAGCACAGAGATTGGGAGTCCAGGGCAGTAATTACCAGGGAGGAAGAGGACAATAGAGTGATATTGGTACTGGGGTGCTAATGGCCTTAAAGTCTCTTGGTAGTGCCACCTTGAAGAGCTAAAATTATCCTAGACAGCAGTCTTTGAAAAGCCCAGCTCCATTTCACACTGTACCTTAACGAAAGCTTTGCTGTCCCTTTACTGAGAGACTGTACCTTTATGCAGAGGGCTTGATCTTCACAAAGCTGGGCCACAAATGCATAGTCCTCCATTACCTGGGGAATCAAAATTCGGTCATAAATTTCTCTCAGTAAATTGCTATAAGAACAAAAGCATATATGTTTCCTCCGGTGTCCCAGACTCTAAATGTGGTTTTCTAATTGTTCTAAACATTTTTTTCCTGTACCTATCAATTTATTTCCTTTTTTTTTTTGAGGATGAGCAAGCCACATGGGGATTATAGTCCAAATGGGAATTATTTGGGGGCAGCTGGGAGAGGAATAGATGCTAATACGTGGAAGATACAGACTATAGAATGTATTCTGTAAAATGTTAATGGGAAGGTAACCTAGGGGATTGCATTCATCTTCCACTTCTTTACCCTTCCCTAGCCCCATAATGGCCCTGGATCTGGAACCTCAGTATAAGTAAATCATTTGAAGAGTGTATTAGATTGTCTGACTGAGGATCAAGTTTTTCCTTCCTTAAGGAGAAGTAATATTGAAGTCCTTGTTGCTACCTTGGCCAGCTCTTTCTCTTGGTCCACACAGGAAGCTTCCAGCTGTTGTAACTTAGCCTAAAGAAAGCAAAAGAGACTGGTAACTCTGCAAGGTGAATCTGTACAGGAATGGAGCGTTATGCCCAAGGTTACCTCATAGGCTGCTTAGGAACCTCAGGGCCATGAGTTCACACGTCTTTTTGCTGGAGGAGTTAAACTGCCCAGCACCCTTTGCAGCTGCTTGGTGAATCTGCTCTTTTATACTCCCCACCTGTCAGTGTTCATCTGATGCTACCTTTACCCCAAAACTTCAGTTCTTAGCTTTCTTGCCTTACTTAGCCATTTTTCTTAGGAATAACATCAGTCTGGAAAAACTCCACCTTTCCTTTTATACAGTTAGAATCCTAAGTGTTTACTCACTCCCTTCTCCCTTCCTGTATTTTTTCTTCTGTCTTTTCTTTCCTTAAATATTTGGCAAAGGACTATTCTACATCAGCCACTATGCTGGAGTGAAGTGGGGAGGGGGGTGATACTAAGGAGACGGTGGCGGACAGGAAGGACAGGCCCTCTCCCCTCACAGAGCTGACATTCCAGTTGGGAGGGCACAATAAATAAATCAACGTGACAGTAGGATGTGCTATGAAGGAAGTAAGATTAATGAGAGACGGTTGTGGTGGGGATGGGAGTGATCAGTGTGAGAGGTGGAGGTCGGAGGTTGGTGAAGGCCTCTGATGAGATGATACTGGAACTGGCATTTAAATGATAAATATTAGCCAAATGGAGATTTGCAAGAAATATGTTCTATGGGAAGGTGATAGTGAGGCCTAAGACTGTGAAGTAGCACAGACTTGATGTGTGAAGGAGTCGTGGCTGGAGCATAGGGAAATCTGGTAGGAAGGAGATGAGGAAAGGAAAGGCAGACAGGGGCTCGATGGTGTAGGGCCTTGTGGCTTCTAGAAGGAGTTTGCTTCCTTATTCTAACTGCAGTAAGAGGCCAGGAGAGAGATTGAAGTGTAAAGACACAATCTGACTTATATTTTTAAAGAACAGTCTTTTCTTTGTCTGAAAAATGGATTGTTTGGGAGTAAAAGTAGGAGCAGGGAGACTGGTTAAGAGACGACTCCAGTTGTCCAGGTACGAGGCTATGGCAGCTTGCAGAAGGGCAGCTGTAACGGTGGTGGCGGACAGGGAGGAACGGATGCATTGGGATGTGTGTCGGAGGTGGGGCAGACATGACCATCCTTCCTTCCCTTTGCAGTCCTGATGTTCCCACTTTCATCTGGGTGCCATTATTTCACATCCGGACTCTTCTGACAGTTGCTTTCCCCTCTAGTCAATTACATCCAGGGCCAGTCAGCCAAATGTGCTGAGAGCTGTAGTTTCAATCCACTGGTGAGAGTCACAGGGGGTTGAAGCAGGCACCCCACTAAGCTGCTGAACTGAATACCAGCATGTCAGGGGAGCAGAAGCAAAAGAGATGCTGTACAGTTCATAGAATTAGAGATACTACCAGAGAATTTGACAAGATAGGTGGGCAAAAGAGAGTGGTTTAGGGGGTTAGTAATACTCTACAACTCTTTAGGGCTGGGCTGCCTGCAAAATAATGGGATTATAATGACAAAGCCTGGGACTCTATCAGCTCAGCTCATCTGGACATAGCTGGCACAGCCAGATTTAAAATGTCACTACTCAATTCTGGGCTTACCTTCCAGGCAAAAGAAGGGATCTTGGAAGAAAATCTGTCTCCTGGTCGCTATAGTCATATTAACAAGTATAGTCAAGGGTCTTCATGACCCTTTCTAGTCTTAACTCCAATTTCTTCCTGATGTGTACTCAGGGTCCTGCTTTCTTTTCCTTTCTAGATAATTTTCCTGATTGAGCACAGCCAAGAAAGCTTACTTGGCGTCTTTGGACCTCCTGTTTTTGTGGCCGCCAACACTAATTGGCCAGCGGAAATAGGGGAGTCATCATCTATACTTTCACTTTCTATTTCTATTTTCAGTGTATCCATATCTTCAGAGGCTTTATACACACAGCAAAGTGTGGGTTTTAGCAGGTCAAGAGAAGTTAGATAAGGCAAGGACAAAGATGTAACTCTGGAGAAAGTGTCAAGAAACATTTTTATCTGCTCTCTGAATAAAAAAAGTCTCCAATTCTTATTTTTTGTTTATTTTATTTATTTATTTTTAATCAGATAGGTTGTTGTTGGCCCCGGGTGCTTAGCTTTGGAACACAATTAGAGAAATGCTAAGCACTGTATGATATGCTTAGCAGGTAGTGGTCACTAAATACATGAGCTACTAACTGCATGAATCCTTTCCTGGATTAGAATCAATGACAGAGTCTACAAATTGCTTAGCACTCAGTAGACTTACAAATCCTAATTCTGCCTCTATGAATTCATACATATACCTCAGCAAGACTTTTAAATAATAATTTATGTGAATTTTGGGGTTTTCAACCATCCAAAAAAGGAAAGAATATTTTATAGACACAATCTCTTTTAATTCTCAAGCTAATGCTGGGAGGAGGTGATTGAATCACCCAACTTGCACACTAAATTAGGTGCTGGGACCAGGATATAAACTAGGGACTTCAACTGCTTCAAATGTTGTATGTGCATTTGTATCCTGCTTTTCCTAATAAAAGGGAGAACAAAAAATAAGGCTTTGGAGTGACATTCCTTACTAATGGCAGAGGAGAATTCAGCACTTAGTGGCCCTGACATTGGCAAAAACTACCAAGAATTTGTCCCAACCTTGACAATTGTTTCCACCTTAACAGCTTGTTTCCTGGTCACATAGCCCAACCTCATTCAGGATTGCTTTTTCATTTACCTTTGACTCTTCTGGGGTTCCATCTAGATTGTTTTGTTCATACTTGGTTTTCTTTTGTGATTTCCTTGTAAGCTATAGTTTGAAATAAAAAATACATTTTAAATAAAAAATACATTAAACTAAGAAATGTGGAAGGCAAAGACACTCTCTGGTATGTGAGGATCAGTGACTATGGCCTTGATAAAAGCTGCCAGAAGATGGTCTCTTGGTAGGTACCTGGTGCCATGTGGAAACATCTTTTTTCTACCTCTGTCTTGTTCTCACTGATCTTGGTCACCAGTGCTAGAGTCCACTCAAGGCAGGAATACTCCCTGAACTCCTAATTCATGCTGAGTTACTCAGGGATGCAGGCATGGGTCAGAGAGTAAGGTAATGATAGGACGTCCACTGTAGTCTGAGGAGATGTTGGGGAAAAAGGAAATGTCTAGACAAGGAAAAGGGAATTCTTAGGGATTAAGTTGTTTTTTTTAATCTTTGCTGAAAATAAAATTAATGTCTTGCCACAAAGGTCCCAGTTAATCATTTCAACAGAGTATCTGTTGGAATCCATTTCCTTATATGACAATGAAGAACCCACGGAATCACTGAATATCTTAACTACTCACTTCACTACATATTTGCAGAGGAAATCCATGGCATGTAGGTCATGAGCCTCAGACTTAGGGGAGTGGATCAGAGAGCAGTACCCACTCCAAGCACAAGCCTCTCTGACGTGTGGGTCCCTGAACAGTCAGTTCCCCCCTTGCCTCTTGGATGTATGGGGCTGCTGTGGGGGTACTGGAAAAGACAGGAGCCCCACCTCACCTTTCTATGAAGTTCTGTTATACTGTGGACCAGCGTCTCATTCTTCCTTTCCTGTGGAGAGAAAGAAGCAGAGTGTAAGTGTGCATCTGTCCACCATCACCTGTTCTTGTTCAGTTGGTTGTTGTCCACTTTACACCAGCAATATTTTCCTGCAGTAACTCTATCTTCCTTGCATGCTGTCACGTGTACACACCAACTTAACAGGGATGGAGATGCCTATCTGTGGGGCTTCCCAATACTAAATATTACCAAAGAAACCCTGCCCTGCACAGGTTTCCTTCCATGCACGGATAAATTCTGTCATGACTGTTGCGGTAACTATTCTTTGTATAGGAGAAACTAGATTACCTGACAGTTGTTGAGGGACAGCAAGAGGAATAAAACCTATTAAATGGCTCTTCCTGGCTTCTCACTTACAAGTCTGGCTGTTTCTTCCTCCATCTCCTGCAAGGCTGTTTCCCTCTCCATTGTAGTGCAGTTCTCCTTCTCCCACTCCTCGTCTTCTGCCAGGTCCCCGGTCTGAGTGACCTCACTTTCCAGCCTGGACAACAGAAGCACACTCCGTGAGGACCCACGATTGGCAATTTCAGAACTGATAAAATGCAGATATCAGTTGCAAGGGTACTTCGATGACAATGTACATGAATCTCAAGTTGGAAACTCTTCTTTAATGAATTCATAGAATCAGAATCACTTCAAAGTCACAAGAAGTAAGACCCACCTGATTCCCAAGAGAAACACTCCAATGTTCTCTCAACTCAAGTAAATATTACTTGGTCTTTTAGGTATCTGTTTGACACTTGCTATCTTTCAGTGTTCAAGCCACAGAGAAATGTCAAAGAATGAAGAAGAAATTTTTTTTTTTTTTTTTTTGCTACACAAGATATAGTTCTCTAGAACTATATCTAGCCAGGAAAAATCAATTTTGTTTCTTCTCCTCCACCCTTCCTTTGGATTGGGAACTTCCCTCATGAAACCCTAATACTCACCTCTGAATCTCATCTTCTCTCTCTTGGATTTTGAGAAGAAGTTCCTGATTTGCTTCATCTATTCTCTGCATATCCCTTTCGAGGTCCATGTTCAAACTGATAATGTTTCTCTTTGACTGGGCCAATCTTAAGATTTCCATTTTCTCTGACCTATAGACTCAGCCCCCAAAATGAACAAGGGCCAGTTATCTTAAGATCAATAATCACTGGGCCAAAGGGGATAGATATCTAGAAGACATGCATGCAGTTCATTAACCTTGCTCTTTCTGGGGGCACAGCTTTCCTTTTTCATTCTTGAAATATTATATTTCCTAATCATGCTCCACAACTGTTTCACTAATTCTCAACTCAGTCAGCAAGGGAGGTCTTTCTCAGGATTTCTCCTCTAAAGTGCTCAATATAATAATGCATCTCCACTCTGGTTTCATGAGAAAATTTGCTTCCTTAAAGAGATCTTTGCATTGAGAGAATTATTTCTCTTTTGGCTATCTTTTCTTAGATAAATTGTTTGCAAAACCTTCTCATGCAATACACTTTTATCAAGTACTTTTATCTAGGCACCTAGCATATCACTCCTGGTTGGGCCTGGCTGTATGCAGAGCCACAGGAGATTTCCACCAGTGCAGTAAGGCTTCACTCCTTCCCTTCCTCCTGCCACCTCAATACTTCTCCTCCACTTGCCTGTTTGAAATTCTACCATGAAAATCATTTTGTTGAGCACACACAGATATGCTCCAGGCATAGCTTTTAAGAATGCAAACATCTTTTTGAAGTACATTTGAATGAAATAATGGTAACTCCAGAGTAGTCTACAAAGGCTACCTGGCACATGGGAGGATCTCAATAAAGTTTCTTTTTCTTGTGTATAAATTAATTTATTGGTTTGACTTGGAATTAATTAGCCAGGAATAGGATAGTGAGAAACAGGAACTTTTGTTTGGGGTAGGAATGAAGCATGATATTGGAAAATAAAGTCCTAACATGGAAGGGCTGGCTTGGATGGGGAATTTACAATACTTATCACTTCAGGAGGGTGAGAAGTGCTTGGGGTAGGGTTTGGGGTAGGTGAATGGGTGGGAGCAGGAGGGGAGAGAGAGCCTGGAAGGTGAAGGAAGGTGTCAGTAGCAGACCTGCTTCACACCTTGGTCCCTGGCTGTGGCTTTGCATAATCCTGATTACTTACTCATAATCTAGTTGGTCTTCCTTGTGTTCTTCCATTGTAGTAGATTCCCTAAAATGCCAGCAGAGATGTATCTAATGAATTGGGGAAATGAGTCCCTTCATGAAGCATAGAGTAACTAAACAAGAATCCCCCAAAAGTTAACTGGTTTCTTCCCTTCAATCCCCACATTTTAGCCATGACAAAACCCAGTCCTCTGATTCTTCTTGCCATGATCTGATTATGTCTTAGTAAAGATACAGTTAGGATACAAGGATAATGCTGAAAAATGCAATATATGTCCTGCTAGCTGATATATTCAGAGGTGAATATAACCAACACAAAACCCTTTGGAAATTTATATAACACAGTAAAAAGAAATAGAGGGCATCAGTCTTAAGTATCTTTTTGTTCTAGGCCCAGTTGTTTTCCATAAGGCCCCATGGGCATGGATGTAGGTTTCTAACTGCCCTGAAAAGTAATCTCTGCTCTGTAGCCCAGCCTCTGCAAGAATTTCCAGTTATTAAGATCTTCAGTATTTAAAAGGGCTCAGAAAGCCAAGTATAAGTAAATTATTTGGCTCCCTCCTCCTCTTAGTTTCCTCTTCTTCTCCATTTCTTCTATAAACTCTACCTCTCTTCTGATGTGTATTGTCTTCCTGATCCTGCCCTAGTCAATTAGCTTCTGAAGAGTCTAACCTTTCCCCACTGGAACCATCCAATAGAATCTCAGAACATTCCGAGAGGTCATGACTGTGCTATTGACACAGGATGGGCGGGGCAGCATGTCACAGTGGGTGGGTGGCAACAGTTTCTCATTATTCCTGTGGAGTTCAGAGCCTAGATGGGGGTGTGGGTTTCATGGCTGAGTCTGCCCTAACCAGCAGTAGGTTCAGTGCATCTGATTTCTGGGCAGTTTGAAAGGGCAGCACCTACTCTTTATTTCTCTAGGATATAAGGCTGCCTTTTTGCCCAAGTGTGACTAAAATGGGTACCCTGGGTCCTTTGGCCAGCATGATCCCATGGTGTAGCCAACTAACTACTCATTCATTCAATAAACATTGAAACACTGCAAGAGCACCTGTGTCTTCCAGGCTCTCCTCTAAGCACCGGAGAGAAAGAGTGAATAAAACAGCCAAAAGCACTCGTCTTCATGGAGTTTACACTCTAAAGTGTGTGTGTATGTATGTGTGTTGGGTGGGGGGAGTAGCACAATCAATAAAATAAATAACTAAATTTATTTTATTTGGTATGATAAAAGAGGACAATGCTATGAAGCGTAAAAGAAAATAAAATTTGAGTACTATCTAAATTTGTTATGCCGAGGGAGAAATTAAGCTCTAAAGACTGAATCATGTAGCATGTTTGCAATTCAGCTTCTCAGATTATAGGTGAACTCTCTTCCTCATTGTTCTTGTTCTATAAATGACTAGGAGAGACCAGAGACCAGACCTCCCTCCCCTCTTCCAATCACTGATCCTTGTGATAGATTAACTGCCTCCTTTATTGTCCTGTACCTAACTCAGACCAGATGGCACAAAAGACCCCATGACTCTTACGTCTTCAATGTGGAATGCTCAATATACATTTCCCGAAAGAAAAAGACCACCTTAACTAATCAGATTGTTGTAACTAAGGCATTAAGCCTTATGTATAAATATGTTAAAATTCTAGTAAGCTTCCCTACACTTTGTCTATATAAATAATCCCAAACTTCTACACTTTTGCTTATTTTAGGTTGACAGAAAAAACATAAACAAGTGAAGGGGGTAAGAGCAAATGCAGGGTGTGTGTGTGAATGTATGTGGTGGGGGGCATGTTGCAGTTTTAAATTGGGTGATGGAGAGAAAGTGGCTGAGCAATCTCAGACCTGGAAGTGGGATATAGTTGCGGCAAGAGGCTTCTGAAGAGTCTAACCTTTCCCCACTGGAACCATCCAATAGAATCTCAGAACATTCCTAGAGGTCATGACTGTGCTATTGACACAGGATGGGCGGGGCAGCATGTCACAATGGGTGGGTGGCAACAGTTTCTCAGAAGACCCTGGGTTGTGCTGAGGTGGACACAGAGTCCAGCAGATCTGGAGCACCATGGAGAGCCAAAGCCTTTCCTGCCAGCCCTCATGGATACATAGCTTTTCCTTGTACCTGCCATCATCCTGGGGAAGAGGAGAGCTCTGGAGACGGAGAATCTTCCTAAAAGACTGAGGAATTACCCAAAGGAGATTTTTAAATAGGAAAAATCCGTGATATCTCCAACTGGCTCCATGAAGTCTTTTCTGCCAACTTTAGTAATAGGTGCTGGAGAGGAAGACATCGGTTGCAGAATATAAAGATTATATTTCTGCATACCTCAGTGTGTGTACATTTTGACCAGATTCTGCATAATTTGTAACTTTTTGTGTGTGAAAGTCATGGAAACCTGTGAAGTTTCGGACTTCTACTTAATAAGGACCACATTGAGTTGATTTGTGGGCCAGAGTGACTTCTTAACATACTGTAGTTTCTAACAAACTATTTGTAAAATTAATGGCCTCTGATGACCCCATTACCATCTCCCTTCTTCCTGAAAGAAGGCATTTCATTGCTTTATGAAGCTGTACACAGAAGAGTAATTAAGTAACAATTCAGGCCAATGGCCTCTCCCAGGAATTAATGGTAGGGAGAGTTCATTAACCCCAGCTGGTTATAGCTTCTGCAGGAAATGCCCTGGACCAAGGTTATTGTAGCTGTTAATGGATTGGATAGGGGCTTTAACTGGTATAAAAATAAAGCTCAATCTCTTTCCTGGGGAGCTTTTCTCCTTGAGGGGCTACCAAAGGCAAGCTGGTATGATCAGCAGAACCCAAGCTTGGGGCCTTGTGTGGGATGAGGGTAACAGATTGCTCTCAATGGGAATTGCTAAATCAAGGTTAAAACAGGGCCTTGGGGGCAAATTAAGGACTTTGATATAAGCTTTCCTGCTATTTGGGAGATGGCTTGATTAACACCCAGTGCAGCTTTAGAGCAGCTGTTTTTGCCTTGTTAACTTTTCTATGCCATGCCTTGCCCTGTGCAGAAGAGTCGCAGAGAGACATTTCACGTTTTGCTCTGTTGCTTCCAGAAAGCAGCTGCCTTTGAGTGGAAGTCTGTTGTGAAAACACCTGCTCTATTTCCAGGCTGGGCATTCAGGCTCTATTTGCAGAGCCTTAGCCCTTTTGCTGCGTGGGGACTGGCCAGGTTCCTGAACCCTGAACGGAAGCTGCCCAGGCTCTGGCCCTTCTGGCTGCCTCAGAGGTATGGAGAGTTGTCTTCTGTGCACCTCGTTCGTCTTCACTTCAGACTTTGGCAAATTCTTCTTGAGTATTTTATAAAGTGAGCCTGGTTTTAAGGCTCACAGCTGGGCAGGGATCTAGAATCTCATTTTAGATAACTGTTCTTTGAATACAGACTCCAATATGCTATTTTCCTTGGGTCCTTTCTTATCCTTAGAGACTATTTCTGAACAAAGTTCAGGCTCTTAAAATCTCTTTGAATTTCCTCTTAGAACACTTCTCCCCATCTTTCTCAGAAGCAGAAACTTGAACTAAACTGAAATGTGAAACAAAGAGACATACAGAGAGGAAATGTACTCATTAGTTAACATTGTCAATTTACCCAGGTTTCTTTTTGTTTGTTTTTACTTTTATTTTTTGCTTGATCGTATACAAGTCAAAATTTGGCTTTAATAAAATTTCATAATGAATAAATTATGATACTTTAAACTGGTACAAGGTTTATGTATTTTTTTAATTAAATGTTTTAAAATTTATTGCATCATTGCCATTATAACAACAATAAAGAACTAAAAAATGAAAATTCATCAAAGATCTCACCTCAAAGCAAAAACAGTGTATTTTTTAAGTTTTCTTCCATTATTTGTCTATTAACAACCTATCTTTTATAGTTATCCTAGAATAGATATATTTTTGTGTTTTTCCTTGTCACTGAATATTTTTTACAAACATTTCCCAGGTTGCTACACACTCTCTATAATTACCATTTTAGTCACTGCAAGAAATACTGCTGAGTTGATAATATTCATAATTAACTTGCCATAACTTTTCTTTCTATCATACTTCTTACCTGTTTACATATCTGTCTCCCCTATTAGATTTCCAGCTTTTCAGGGCCAGGAGAGTGCCTGCATTTGCTAGGGCTGCCATAATAACCAAGGACAACAGACTTGGTGGCTTAAACAACAGATATTTCTTTCCTTTTCCTCACAGTTCTGTAGGCTGGATGTCCAAGAACAAGGTGTGGGCAGAGTTGGTTTCTTCTGAGGCCTCTCCTTGACTCTTTCCTATGTCCTCACATAGTTATCCCCCTTGTGTGTGTCGATGTCTTCATCTCCTCTTCTTATAAGAACATCAGTTAGACTGGTTTAGGGCTCACTTGTATGGCCTCGTTTTAACTTGATTATCTCTTTAAAGGCCCTATCTCCAAATACAGTTGCATTTTGAGGTATTGAGGGTTAGGACTTCAACATACGAATTTTGGGAGACACAACTCAGCCCGTAGCAGTGCCTAAAGCTTCTTTTATGCCCTTTTGCACAAGGCACTCAATGAATGTTTAGCTGTGGCTGAATTTGTGAACATTCATATAGTTTCCCCATCACCAATCTCATAAAGACACTTAAAATATTATATGTGAATAAGCATTATAGTTTTCAGTATAAGAAAAATATCAAAAAATATAGACTTATGTTTTTACCATTTTTGAATATATATTCAGGATGAAAAGATGAGGAACATGAGGACAAGAATAAATGTCTTGCTGGAATTAAAAAGCAAGGTTTAAAAAATCACCCTCCCATATCACGACACCCCTCAACATTTTGCGGTTCATTCTTCTGTGAGCCTGGAAAAGTGCCGCAGGAAAAGGGAATTTCCTCAATGACAACAGGGAGCTGGCATCGCAGAGCAGTTATTCGGTGTATATTTCATATCAGTGACATAATGTTTTTGTTTACAAAGAGGTCATTTTTTCTGAAGTAACCAATGCTTGGTCTCTGCTTTAAACACCCTTTGCTTTATTTTAAA